GTAACATAAATCAAGATTTATTCATTTGCCCAATTAATAACGAAGTAAATGATGACGGATTAACAAAGAATTAAAAAAGAGACTTTAAACAAAAACGTAACGGCTTTTAAGGGAAATTCATTTAGATTACATATCAAATAGAATTCAACAAAAAAGGAAAAATACTATATGAATAAAATTAGCTTTAGTTTTGGCTCATCGGGATAGGGATAGGAAAAATAGAGATTTTCGTCGTTTGTGGATTACTAGGATAAACGCAGTAATTCGCGAAAGGGGAGTATCCTATAGTTATAATAGATTTATACACGATCTGTACAAGAGACAGTTGTTTTTTAACCGTAAAATACTTGTACAAATAGCTATATCAAATAGGAATTGTCTTTATATGATTTCGAATGAAATGGACAAAATATATGACTCCACATAGAAGAATGGGAAAATTACATAAACGGACCATAAAATCTTAAATAATTACAAGTTCATACCCAAAGTAATTCCTGAAATACTCATTCTCTCATAAATAATTATAGCTCATACCCCTATTCATTAAGGCTGATAATTTTCGCTTAACTGATACTAATCAGTATCATATACTATATTAGTATTATTAAGGCTGATAATTTTGGCTTAACTGATACTAATCAGTATCATATACTATATTAGTATCATTAAGGCTGATAATTTTGCTTAACTGATACTAAATCAGTATATATATATATAATGTATTGGTATCATTAAGGTTTCTTATTCAGAAATTACTCATTAGTCAATGATGCTATAAGAGTATATGTATATTGTTGTGGTATCATTAAGGTTTTTTGTTCAAAAATTACTCATTAGTCAATGAAACTATAAGAGTATATGTATATTGTTGTGGTATCATTAAGGTTTTTTGTTCAAAAGTTACTCATTAGTCAATGATATTGTAAGAGTATATATATATTATGGCATCATTAAAGTTTCTTGTTCAAAAATTAGTCGTTTGGTAGAGTGTATAAGAATAATGCAAGATAGGGTGCATTAGTAATGCCTGTATTAGTTATGCAAGCATTATTTCTTATACATTGTTTGGTTTGATGTATTAGAAATAACAAATCTTGCATAATTTTTATTAAAAAAATATATGTTTACAAAAATACCCTTCACACTTTATTTATTTGTACACTTCCTTTGCAATAAAGTTCTTTGCTAAAACATCAAAAAAGATTTATTTGCTAAAACACCATTAACTTTTCTTCTTCTTCTTCTTCTTTTCAAAAATACTATTGAATAGTTGTACTATTGCGTAAAAATATTTTTGTGAAAAGTTTGCAAAATTTTTTTTTATCAAATTTATCATCACAATAGTAAAAATTGTGATTAAATTATATTGAAATTAAATTTTTATTTTTTAAAAAAATAAATACTTAAGAGGCCATAAAGCCTATTAAAACACCAACAAATTAAAAAAAAACTAAAAAGCAAAAATAAAAACTTATGACAACAAAGAAAATGAAAAGACTTTAAGGGTAGTTTTGTAATTATTTAATCTAATGCAAGTGTTAAAATGCTATGTATTACTAATACCTAGAATTCCTTGGTATTAGTAATACACAACTTAATACACAATAGAGTGTATAACTAATGCATTAGTTATACATGACATGAAAAAGTGTACCAAACAAGGTACTACTAATACACACACCTAATGCATGCATTATGTTTCCTAATACACTCTACCAAACGAGTATATAGTACCATTGACTAATGAGCAATTTCTGAACAAAAAACTTTAATGATATATATATATTTAAGCGAAATTATCAGCCTTAATGATACCAATACAATATATTTACTGATACTAATTTAGTATCAGTTAAGCGAATTAGTTGGGGATATATAGTGTAATTATTTAGTGGGGTATGAATGTAAAGGGGTATATATTTGTAATTGTTTTACTTTTATAGGGTATTTGCTTAGTTTCCCAAAGAAGAATTCGAAGATGGACTATTTTTGGGTTTTGACCCATTTATGCTGCTGTGCTTCGGACCTTTTGACCTTATATTAGCTTTTCTCTCTCGATTAAAACAAAGTTGGGCTTTGGCCCAATACGAAATGCTTAGGAAGACTTGAGTCCAGTATAACCCGTTTGCGACATTAGTTTAGGAAAAATTATCTAAATATATATTTTATTTTATCATAATCTCTAAAATTCTCTATCATTTAAAAATTTCAAAAATTTCCTCTCGGATACCTCGCTCCCCTCTCGTTAATACATCCTATCCCCCTCTCTGATGTATCTCCTCCCTTTTTGGATACATTTCTCCCCCATTTATCCTGATGTCATATCCCTTCTTTGATACATCCCTATCCCCTCTCTGACACATCTCTTCCCTCTCGGATACATCCCTCCCCTATGTATTCAGATGACTGTTGATGTATTCGGAAGTCCAGTGATGTATCTGAAATCCTATTTATTTGGAAGTTCAGTGATGTATCCAAAATCTATAAATTTTAAGGGATTTCTGTAATTTTAAAAAGTATAGGAAAATAATGTAATTATCTCTTAACACTATGAGATTTATGTAAATTGCTCAATAATTTATCGTCTCCAAATTGTTGCTTTGTGAAGTGTGATACTCCACACCAATTTGAGGAGATGTTAGCCTATGATATTAGTAAAGGCCCATGTTTTAGTATTTGTATTGTAGGTTTAGATAATGGGAAAATTTAGCGAATAAACATAACATATATTTGTTAATTAGCTAATATAGCTATAATTTAAATTAATTACTGCTCGCAACTTTATTTTAGCTGTAATTACGTGCGCCTCTCTCCTTTCTCCTCGCTTATACATATATGAAATACAAATTATATATATATATATACACACAATTATATGACAAATATACAAATGCAGTCGCCTCTCTCCGCTCTTTTCCCTCTCGCCCGTCTATCTCCTCCCTCTCCCAATCTCTCTCGCCTCTCTCCTCCCCCTAACATGTAGCTATGAATCATAATTAGCAAACTATAGCTATGGAGCCTAATTAAAATTATTTTAGTGGCTATTTGCGAAAATTCCCCTTAAATAATAGATATTACGTGCATTGTAGGCATAATTAGCTATGGTTGAGTAATTATAAGTTGCAGTATAAATGTTTATCTTTTAATTATGCTTATCTTTTTACTTTTACTAACAAAACGTTCAAATTATAAATATGGAAAATAGGAAAAAACCTAAATTATAAATACGGTCCGTTATAAATATCATTGTACGTCTTAAACATTGACACACAGTTTAGTGTTAAAGACAACTTCAAAATTGGAATAGAAAAAAAACTAAATTATAAATATTCATATTTAAAACCTTGCCTTTTAAAGTTCACATTCTAATTAAAATTAAAATAGGAATAAAATTGAATTATAAACATTCATATTTAAGACCTTACCTCTTAAACATTCGTATTCTAGTTCAAAATTGGAATAATAATAAATTTAAATGATAAACATTCATATTTAAGACCTTACCTCTTAAACATTCATATTCTAATTCAAAATTGAAATAGGAAAAACCTTATAAATTGTTTAGGATTTTGTTAGTATTAGCTTGATTATTTAATTAGTTAATGTCTAAACAAGTTTTGCAGTCACATTCGTAGGTTTTCTTATTTCTATTCATATTATGTATTTACCCAATTATAAATAGTACGTACTACTGGCTATTTTCTTATAAACTCGAAAAAGAAAAATACAAAATCAAGTAAAAATGCATCATCAGAAAGTGGCTAATGATTTAGTTGTGGAGATCATCTCCCACTTGCCTTTGAAATTTGCAGTTCAATGTAAAGTTGTAAGCAAGAAGATCTCAACATTAGTATTTCCGATCCTAAATTTTGTAAAACTTTATCCCAAAATCAAAAGATCTCTACACTAATCAATTCATCACAAAGCTAATTATCCGAAAATCTCCATAAACAGTAGTAGTATAGCAGCCAGTCCTTTCGAGACGACTTTACCTGTTAACCTTAATGTTTTAGCCATATCCAAGGGTCTAATTCTCCTCGATCAACTTTTATGAACTTATGAATTACTGTGCTTTCAATCCTTTAACTGGAGCACACCATATCCTGATCCTGAACAATGTCATTGGGGAGCAATTGCTCCAGCTTTCGCTGTTGACTACCCTACTTCAGATCAATATATGTTGGTAATAATCAAGCTGATCGAAGAATTTTATAGATTTAAAGTATTAATTTCATCAATTGGATGTGGTGTGTGGCGCGAAGTCCAGTGGGGGAAGAAAATCTATTTCTCTATGTGAAGCAAGTTAATCCTATCTACGTCTATGATTCAATCCATTGGCTCATGAGAACTTATGTTGGTGGTGTTATTCATACAATGTTGGAATTATTGATGATAAACAAGGAAAAGAGATATCAAAGGGAGAAAAGAAAAACAAGCAAACAAGAGTTTCATGTTTGGCGTTGATTTCATCGGACAACTCTAATCCCTTCATTTGGTCTGAAAAGGACAAAAGGGTTGTACACTCTGGGCTGAAGAATTGTTTTAACAATGGGCTAACTAAAAGCCCACCTCAGATAAAAGAAGTCATCAGATCATTTCGTATAAATGGCCCAATAGACAAGAGATATGCATATGGCTGAAATAAGCAACGTACATACATAGAAAAGGAATAAAGTTTGTTATAGGTTGAGCCAATTAATCTTGTACACCTGGCATAGCAGTTAGAATAGAAGGTTCTTTTTATTTCCTCTCTTGTATATAAATATAGGATTAACAATTGTAAATGGAATCATCAATATACACACAGAAATTTTCAATCCTGTTTGCTTTCTTTCATACAAAGAAAATAAAGGTTACATTAATTGACCTTCCTGAGATGAATATCGATTATAATGCATTCAAGTGCATAAAATGGTTAGGGGTGGTGCACGGTTTACTTACCCTTGTTTGCACCTTACAGAATTCCATAGTCATTTCTTCTTATGATTATACTAGCAATGACTGGAGTGACCGCCAACTTTATTAGCGGTCTGGACTACTATAGCTATTCATTTCCAGTATGGATTGACAGAGAACATGTGTTTTTCCTAGTAGAATGTCCTCCGCGACAAGATCATGATTCTGAGAGAAAGAGGTATCAAATAACTCCTGCTTTGGAGAATGATGATTGGTTTGGTTATTATCCATTAGAGTTCTATACCTTCAATTCGCACCAACTTTAGCCAGTGTTCATGCGATGCTCTGTCTACGGGAAACATCTGTCATCTATCATTGCAACGTTAGATGAGCTCAAACGATTTATCACAAACAACAGTTGGTATAGTTAGTTTCCTTCAATTTTCAATTTTGTATTTTGTCCTGAACTATACTGAGAATTACTGATTTTGGTTTAGCTGCAACCTGTCCTGTTTCTGTTTTGGTATGTTTCATTTTTAGAAAAAATTAATGTTTTCTTCTAATAAAACTCAACAAGTTAAAAAAGATGAATTGATATATATGCTAAAGCAACACATGATAAATTGATATATAGATACCTTAATTGTACTTGCTTTAATGTTTTGAATATTGTTTAAGAAACACTATAATAAGAGAATTGATCAAATGAAGATCGATGTATCTATCAAAACGGGAAAGGGTCAAATATAACCCGATCATTTTAGAAATAGTTTTAATATACCCTCGTTATACTTTGGATCAAAATATATCCTAATACTTTGACACAAATATACCTTTAATTTTAATGGAAATACACATGTCAAAGCATAGAATTAAATAACGCATCCCCAATTTTAAATACCCAATTTGCTTAGAAGCTCAGCCATCTAACCTCCGGATCCAATTGAGAGGGTATATTTGGACCCAAAGTTTAACGAAGGAAATAATAAACTATTTTTAATAATCCTCAGATATAAATATTTGAGTATTTGACCATTTGCAGTATACAAAATAAGGAAGAATCAATTATAATGGATATCAAAGGGAAAACCTAACAGGACCAGAAAAGGGAAAATACTTTTTCAATATTCAAATTATAAATAAGGAAAATAAACACTTAGTAGAAGGCAACTTGGCCTCTGACTTAGGTTAAATATTTGATGTCCATCTTTATGTTCGATTCCTCAAAAATTCAAAAAATTTAATTCCATCTCTTTCCCTTTTTTGGCTTTTAAATTGGTGACTGTTGGGATGCTGAATAAATGCAGAGGATATGGATTTAGAGTATTTTCATCGGAAGAAGCTGGAGTTGTATGGCATGAATTCCAATTTTTGAAAGAGGTATATTATCGTACTTCCATAGTCGGTCCACAACCTGTTTTCGTGCACGATTGCTTGCATTGGCTCACGAGTGACGGTAATGTTCTTGCTTTTGATACAAAGAGTAGTACTGGACAGGCTACAATTATCAACCTACCTCGTGAAGTCCTTCATGTTTATTTAAATGATCCTATGTACGGTGCTATTAATTTCATGTTCGATGCAGTTTTGGAGTTGGTACGTGGTGTACTTACCCTCGTTTGTTCATTCAAGAAATTCATAGTCATTTTTTGTTATGATTATGTAAGCCGCAAATGGAAAGTTTCATACACATTGCCTAACTTCAAGCCGGATCTGGTGGGACGTGTTGGTGGTCCTGCTTCTCCAATATGTTTTGATGGGGAAAAGTTGTTTATCTTCGGAAGATATAGGGCTGCACCGCGGACTGGATATCTGTACGAGTATGTTTTAGAGATGAAGACGTATAAAAAAGTAGGTGAAGTTTTTAATATGCATAGTGCTATCTTCTTCTCGTGGGAACCAACATTAGCCCGTATCCCTAAGACAGAGCTTCCCCCTTACAAAGTCCACTCTAAACATTTCCCAGAGATTACTGCAACATTAGATGAGCTCAGATGTCTGATTGCTAATAAACCTCGAGTTGATCATGTCACGAAAACACCATAAATAATTATAGGTTGTTAGCTGTTATTGGTTCTCAATACTAATTTGTCATATATAAATAATTATATGTTCAGACTTATCATTTGTTGCAATTTTAATACATGCTTCGCATCAATAGTTTTTGGTTCAGATTAACCCGCCATATCAACTGTACATCCGTCCATGCTTTCAGCACCAGATATTTGAGGCGCTATAGTTTGTATTTGAAAATATTCACAAGTTGTTATGAAAACATTTTGACAAAATTTTCTGTTGATTGACACTGAACCTTGACCTCTGCTGTGAAAATTGCTCGTACTGGTCTGTGGTCCGACAGCTTACTCTCACCTCGACTATACTGTCTTTGTTTCAGTCCCTTCCCAAACCATATAATCCTATCACACCTGCATAATTAATACACTAGTTGCTATAATTCCTTCTACAAAAATATTAATTCGCTAGTACTTTTCCATTTGTGTTATGAGATCGATCACTTACCAAGCAGGGGTTCGATTCTTTTCCTTTTTCCCTTTCTGATTATTGCAGCCATAATAATCATCAGAATCTAGATTGTATTTATATGTCGGCGCAAACTCAATTTCCTCCTCATTCCAACCCTCAAAGGTGCAGCCTTCTCTTAACTCTGCCTTCAACTTCAATGTAAATTTAAGATAAGTAATTAATTAATGGTTGAATTTAGCTGATGGATTTCAGTTCTAACATAGTCGATTTTTTAGATCATCGATTCAATTTAACTCGTTATAGCAGGTTATTTACTTCTGCTTACAGAACTTAAACTTTCAAACTTGGTTGAATTAATTTTTCTTTTGCTGATGATTAATTAGAATACCTGATCGTTTTGTAATAATGTGCTCCATTGCCTGTCATTGACTAAAGATCTAGTTGTGGGTTCTGGTAAGCAAATCCTGTAGTTCAAGTCGCCAAGCCAAATCACTCTGCTGCATGAGATTACGCAACTTGTGACAGTTAGAAAATAATTATAAATTAATCACTGCCTGCAAATTGTGGATATTAATTACTTATTACAAGATATTTCAAGATATTCACCACTTGATATATAAAATGAGTACAAAGCAATCAAATCTTCTTTGTTTTGTTCTAAATAAATGAAATTGTTGACTTCTTTGCTAAAATAAGTGAGACTCATACAAGGGGTTAGGTAAGAATTTTGACAAACTCCTAGTTTTTTCAAATAATTATAGGGAGTATCTGCCTGCTTGAGTAGTTTAGGCAACGACTCAAGCAGGCAATATCACCAGAAGAAGCAAAACCATATTCATAACCTGGCGATATTATGGATAGGTCGAACACTCGAGCTAATAGAAAAAAAGTACACTATAAGGAAGACAGAGTGACAAGTGTTTGATTTGAAACCCTTTCGTCAGAAAATTATACTGTGCAAATAAAGTAAAAAAGAAACATTTGAGAGAGGTATACATACTCGTGTTGTAAAATCTTTCTGGGCAAACATTGAAATGGATCAGAGGAAAATTGTGTGCGTGATAGTATTTGGGAGACATTTGCATTTCGCTCTCTCTTGTCTCCTTCTTTTCCACCAGAAGCTAAATGACTACACACAAAGCAGAAACTTGTCTCGTGCAAGCAAAATCTAACCGAAACTGAACCCTGTATATATATGTTCAATTCCTCAAAATTAGTGTACTAGTAATTAACCAAATACAACTAGAAAAAGGGAGTTTGGACATAAAAAAAAATGTGAAATTAGGATATTTGTTTTCGAGTTGAAATTAGGATGTAAATGATTTGTACCTTGTTGCCGAGGCAGCCAAAAATACCACAGCCTACAGAGGAGATACTGATATGCCTGATATAAGGAAGCAGGGGAGACCTTGCCCATATGGTGATAAAAACTCCTACCATTTGTTTGCTAATTATGCATTCAAAATGTGGTGAATTACTAGTTTTCGAAGTAGTAAAGGATCCCTCTCTCTTTAGTGGATAAACCTTTTGATGACTTTCTCCAAGCTCCGCCTTCTGATGAAGACTGATATCATCAGTCTTGTTAAGAGCTGCTCTAATAAGAGAATTCCATTGCATAGATATGCTTGTATTCTCTTGCACTAAGATGTTTCCGGCATTCAAAGGTACAATTTCTTGAAACCTGATATAAATTTGGGGTTATTTTTATACACTGTAACGTTTTTGTCATATTGAAGTAACTGAACTTTACTTACTATAACAGTAAAGTCAATAAACATTACCCGAGAACGTAGATGTCAGCCAAATTGTTTTCAGTGTGGAGCAAGTCTTCCATGTTTAACTCGGAAGGTGGTGCAATGCCTCCAACATTCCATGAGCTAACAAATAATCTGTTTTTTTTTTCAAAAGGACATGAAATATAAGATGAAACTAGCATTGAAGAGTTTTAAAAAGGTAAAATTTATATACATAGTTAAAATTAAGACTGAGAAATGTATATATACGTCAAATTTTGAATTTGAGCAGACGTAGTTTGATAATCAACTTCATGATTCTGCCTGTCCTCTAGGATCTTGTTAGCTGCTAAAGCAAGCCACATGACCTCGGAGGAGACGAAACAAAATGCAGAACTTATATCATAATACTTATGTGGGGGAGAGTCAGAGAGATGGTGGGCAATAAGTTAAAGTACAAGTTGGTGTGTATATAAAGGGGGACAAAAAGAGCAAGTTGATTTCAAGGTGGTCTATTCTGAAATGTTCAAAGGGTGAAACAACTTGGGACAGGAACGGAGCCACAATTTTGTGTTATTAGTTCAGCTGAATGACTTAATATGTGCAAACTAATAGTAATCTATTCAGAGTGTCTGTAAAATAAAAGTTCCGACTCCGTCCTAGGTGAAAGTTAGGGCTACAAAATGCTATTGGTTAGTTTGTTCTATTATGGAATGCTTATAAAGGGAAACAAGTTGTTAAACACAGCAGTAAAAGCAAAAAAAAATTAATTAATGAATTGCTAACATATTCAATTGGAAGGACATGACCAATAAGGGGAATGTGATGTGAGCGATGATGCAAGTTGGATTAAATTTAAATAGACCGAAAGCGGGAGGTAAGGTTAATATATACTTATTGGAAAAAACGTCTATGATGATTGGAAAGGTTGTCACTTTTCCCTAATAAATATATTGTTTTGGGACTAACTATACTTTTGTAAATAGATATAGAAAGAATTAAATAGTACTTGTGATATTTACATTTTCAACTCAAATTTTACCGCGACTAATAATCAGGTATCACGTGAAAACGAACAAAATGAAACTTGAAACGATAAGAATCAACTAATCAGGTGTAATTGGAAAATGAACAAAGTGAAAACTGAACGATAAAACAAAGAAATACCAAAAAAGACATATATTTAACATGGTTCGTGATCAATTAATCTATATCCACAAGTAGAAATGAGCAATCTATGGTATAAAAGTTACTACAAAATATCGAGAAATTTTGGACCACTATGATAAAATATGTTATTTTGGACCACTTCCAAGAGTGATCAATTTGGAGAAGCGCAAGCAAATGCTTTTACGTTAAATATGTTTAGGTGCCTGCCGTCATAGTGACTCTTGTCTTTTCTCCTATTTGTGTGGGTAGGTCAGACGTATATAATAATCAAGTTACGATAATTGTTTACTACTCTTACTTAGTTAGCTCCTTCCTTGATTGGGTTATTTGTGTTGAAGACAACCATCACACATCAGATCGGACGAGAACCCTAGGCTCGACTTGGGTCTTGGGCACTCCTTACTTTGAGTTAGTTTTTGGGGTATGAGTTAACCTCAAGATCTAATTTGACATGATATTAACACCAGGCCCATTGGGTCAGTTGTGGGGCTCCCAAACCGTACGAGGGTTGGAATATACTTTCAATCCTTGAATGTCGTGCTGCGAACTGGATAATGGATAGAACCTCGGATAAAGAGCATATTTGGATTGACTTAAAAGTTGGCCAAAATTATTCTAAGTCATTTTTAGCTTTTGAAAGTGTTTGACAAAGTTAAAAATAAGTTTAAAATGTCTTTAAAAATGTTAAAAACCAAAAGTAGAACTCTTTCCACTTTTTATTTTTTGATTTAAAAGTAATTTAAATTTAACTTTTTTTATTTTTATTAAAAGCTATTTTTTTTAGATCAATCCAAACGGGCTCTAAGAATGTCTGGTTTTAGGTGTGAGGTGAGTGTTGCTGAGAATGATCCCATATCGATATGGACCGGGACAAGAACCCTGAATAATTATAAGACGTGGTCAATATTCTTCCTTTGAAGGTAGTAGCTTTTAAGATATAAATTAGTCTCAAAACCTAATTGAAATTTGTGTATAGTACAATAATTGATATAAACCAGTTCACCCTGGATTCCACCCTTTCCAAAAAGAGAACTGGTAATATAATTGCATATACTTCAATCACTTAATAATTATATGATCAATTAATACATATATTTACTACATTAAATTACTTGATCATAATAAATTGAGTTGATTTGATGTAAACAATCGAGGCTGGGTAATTATTACACAAAAAACACAACATGCAAGTCGATGTCAAGAGTAAAATCTATTAGGAATATTCGTACAATATTATATAGAATTCCAGTGTTTGTACTTCAAGTTGAGTCATAATGATAATTAATAGGCAGTATCAACCACTAATATCCATGCTTTTTTATAATTGGATGGACGGAGAAAAATAATTGAATGCCAACTGCCAAATCCAAAAAAGTGTATTCTACTTCAGTCAACTAATTTGCTCTTTAATTATTTTTTATTTGGGGTTAGGCTTTGGAACACCAATCAACTTCTCCAAATGATCAACCACAGTGCAGTGACATATCTCAATAAAATAAAATAAGTATTTTTATTAGTCAAAAAAAAAAGTTTAATGCTTATTGCTCAAAAATATTGGTTGTAAAATTGGCCTCATCAATTACTAGCTAATCATGATTAGGAACTACCTTTTTCGGAGGATAATATTATTAATTCATCTTTTCTACTTATTACTTTCTC